TACAAATTTGTGATTATACCATTTTCTCCACTTCTAAAAACTCCATGTGTCACATGATCCGTCGCTATGATGAAGCGAATACTTGTATTATCATAGCAAGCTATTAAGGTTAAGAACGTCTGTATTTTGCATCCCAATTGCTGGAACATCAACGACAGATAATAGTAGTGGATAATTATAATATTTACAAAAAATGTAACAGCAACAACAGCAATAACATACAACAACCATCTGATAAATCATTAATACTTAATCCTGTTTAGTTTTATTACACACTAATAGTACAACCCGAGCTTTTGGCAATGGGCTATAGCTCAGTGATTTATATGAATACTATTTCAATCTTGTGTCTGTCTGTGTGTATGATAGTGGTCAAAATTTATTGTGTACCGGTACTCCTTCCATGTTTAATTACACCGTGGAATCATAGCTGAAGGCGCAACATCATAAAGATTATAAAAGGTCAAATAATATGAAACAGTTCTAGAAATATTCAAAATAAACATCTATGACGTCAATAGTACATACATGAAGGTGGTCTTTTGCAATGTGACCGCACCAGGACATCAGATCAAAGTCAATAAAGCATTGACACAACATTATTGTCATTGAGTAAGGTCGGGGCATTTACTTAACATTTGGAAAACTGCGAAGAAAATGCCACTGTGACACTGCATGGTTGTTTAAGCCGAAGAAACATTTACAGCTGATAAGAGCGTGGGATTTACTAACGCGGTAGATGGCTTAAGTTTAAACGAATGAACGCTTGTGTCACTGGACACAGTATTTTTGTACCATGGAGTGATTGAAATCAGTCACGTAAAAGTCTTGGTAATTAAATAACAGATAATTGTCAGGGTAAAAAAGAAGTCTTCAGTTTCTTGCCATGGTTGTTTATGTAACGAATAGATTAAGTCACAATTATCCAAGTGCTGGAGAAGAAAGAATTTTGATTGGCTGAGCAAAATGAAAGTTATAAAAGAGAAGTTGTCAGACCCCAAATCCAGTGGTCAAGTTAAAATAAAAGGTGATAAAAATACGATACGAATTTTTGGTTCAATCTAAGAATGACTTTTAACAAAAAACGCAAGGGAATATATTATGGTATAACACACTTCTTTAATAACACAGTACATAACCTACCAGTACCATAATTTAGTCCCTTGTTTTTTTGTTATATGTGCACTTCGTTTCTAAATTTAAAAGTAGTTCAAATCTTCTCTTATACTGATTTGTTCCAAATTTTTATAAATTTTAATGATCACACCAAGTTTCATTAAATCGATTGCAAACTGCCTGTAGCCTATAGTCTGTAGAAACGGACCTACAGGTAAAGTAGACAACAATATACGTCCACATTTCCATGTAAAAATATTTTTTTTTGATTTGTTTCATTGAACGGAAAACGTTGGTCAAATGGATAACATTCAAGATTTCGGAGCTATTACGAAACAGTAGAGGAATATCTGACCTTTAAAACCCCACAGATTCTATAAAAACTATATAACAGTAATTGATGTGTCAATAGAAAGGGGTCTATTTTAAGATTTACCGCCAGAAATGGAATCATAATAAGGAAATTGCTCTACATGCCGACTTCTTTCTTGATCCAATCAGACTATTTTGCTTTTCAATTTTCCTGAAATAAAAGTTGCTTGAATCTGGTGGGATATGACAACTCTAAATACACGTTGTCATATTCATATCACCTCGGCTGATAAAACAATGAAGTACATTTGTGTCCTTATTCTACATTGATGATGTTGCTTTATGTTTAGTCGGATTCATCTTGATGATATCGCAAATCTATCTGTGCAAATGAGTGTTGGCTTATGCAGGGCAATAACCCGGAATATCCCAGAATAACTAATGTTGTTGATCAAACAAGTTGTATGCCAAAGCTGACTACCCAAATGGGTACTAAGTTATTAATGGGTCTTCGGAAGGATATAATTATGAACGATTGGGTTAGACCAAACCAGTTAACCATCTCCATGAGTGATCATTACTACCGAATACAAAATACAGAAAACATAACAAGAAATATTCAACATTTGGTGTATGTGTGTATGAAATCCAGGCTTGGTATGCAAAGTAGACCCTAATGATTTTCTATAAACCATAGATCGAAGTTATAGCCAGATAAACAGTGAACTCTTCCTAACTCTTTTTCATACCGTTAAAGACATGTTCATTTGATCTTGTATCAATAGGAATAAATACTGCATTTCTCCAATAAATCAGAATGTTAGCCCCTGACGTAGTATTACGAAAGATCATTCTAACAAAAATAATTCAGAAGAAAGGCTTGAAGTGGTATATATCATTGATACATTATGGAGACAGTCTCAACCACTCTCTGATTAATTCAACCTTCACTTTGACTTGTCTAAGGTTAATCTAAACTTTGTTATTCTGGCAAGTCGCCAAATAAAATATTCGCCTACAATTACAATGTTTTCCTGAATCCGTCTAAATTTTATCTTATTTTGGTAACACCCGTTTTATTCATATTTTCATTTTTAGCTCGAAAGTGATTGAAATAATTGAGACGGAGTACTTATCGGGACCTCTAGACCTCCCTAAGATTGCATGCCCAAAATAGATATGGTGTTAGTAGTAAATCCGGTTGCATTGTCTTATAGCTCCACGCTTAGGGCAGTCGAATTCAGATACAACGTTTGTCCAATATAGTTTACAAATTAACAATGACATTTCATTACATAACATACCAAAAGTAATTGATACTGCTGGTCAAATCCTTGTATGAGACTGACCCGCCTGCAAAGCGTGGAAATCAAAATGAACTTGACGGAGCTGCATGCGCACAAAATTCTATTTGCAAAGACAAAGAGGGGAGGAAGAATGCATTTCATTGCATTTAGACTACATAAAGCTTGTATCATTTGTTTGGTGTATCACATAATACGCTATTCTGATTAAGATGTAGATACAAGAAGGTAAATAATGTATGTTCTTAGTTTAATAAATTAAAACACACATCTAATACACAAGCTTGAACATGTTTAGTTCTTTCTTCTCGTTGGGAGAGAAACCTAGAAGGTTTCTTGAAGGTTTCGGTATTATGGCTGTCTGAAATATCAAGGTAAAACTTGCAGGTTTCTGAAGGCGCTTAAAAAGGGTACTGCAAGTGTCTTCAAACCATTGACCTTGTAAGATTTTAAAAGCATATCTACAAAATATTTTAAAATATGTACTCTAATATTAACCTCCTGCAAAAATTAAGACATGAATGAAAATGAACTTAAATTATGACGAAATGAAATGAAGTGAAGGGAGCTTAAACGTCCTTCTTTTCTGCACCTTCTAATAAAGACGGGCAAAATAAGACCAAGGACAGAGTAAACGTTCACAGTTAAGTTTGAGAGCTTCCATAATGTTCTTTTGATATAGGCAACATGAACGAACCCAATCATGTAGAAAAAATGCACTTATTATGGTAAGCTAATGAGATATTGATCTACATAGTAGGCCTAATAGTTTCCGTTACGCTAATCCACTGTAGACCGTTTATTAAGCACGAACTAAAAGATAACTGCAAATCAAATCATAGACGAATTCAAGTAGGCTAAGCTGATACTTCGGTATTGTTATTTCGCAATATCAGTTAAAGATGCTTTCAGCGAGGTCGGATTTTGTTTCCTTAAATAGAAAAAACAGAACAAATATCTTGAAGCCATGTTCTAAAAATCTGATGATTTTTTCAAATGCTGATTTAGCTGGTTTGAATTTCATCTGAAAGTTTAATAAAACGTTATAAATAGAGAGAGCTTAAAGGTTTTCTACCCCGAAATAGAAATCAACATAAATCCTTTATGTCAATTTTAACGAATTAAAAATATGAATAAGAGTGAATAATGATAATTGTTCTTTAAGTGCAGTGTAAATTTCCACTTCCATAATTAGTAATTACTCTTTCAACTATTACTAACAAAGAAAAAAAGGATATGATGTCATTCTGCTTTTTTTGGAAATATTCCTTATTTGATAGTTTTATTCATGACCAACATTACACTGTACTAATTCATTAAAGGGTTTGTTTTTTTTTCTCAGTGACTGAGGTGTAAGGGATGGCTTAAAAAAGGACCGTATGGGACAATGAACCACATTATGCAGGCTGTGTGCGATACAGATCAGCAGCCACACACATAAAATGAAGCTGGCATTTCCGCTTGTAAGACATTGCTTATCTTGAAGAGATAAATCGTGTGCAGAAAAGGAACATCTACAATTCATTTTAATTTAGTGTCTTTGTTATGTTTTAGACCTCCAGCTACATGTCTAAGTTGTAAATAAATAAATATGATAGGTTTTACCTTTTTGTTCTAGACATTGCTGACAGTGAGAACATGATAGATTTTACAACAAAAATAGACGAAAGTGATAATCTTTGGGCCTTGGGGAAACCATAACGTCTCAAGGTTAACTTGTAATTAGAGAAATCAAAAAGAATAATGTGATAGAGTTTAATGTCCAGTACGAATCTAATATCTTGTTCAATTTGTAGAATTAATCACTTACTTCGTGCGTTTTGATTGGACACGGTGGCTTAAGCATTGGCTTAAGCACTCGATTAGCAGGACATAACGAAATAGAAGCTAATATACGAAGTATGCATTACACGATACAAACACTAATGTCTTTCTTCTATTTTTATTGTACATGTATCGACAAGTAGGACTAAAAGTAATAAATAAGTGATTAACATCTGACGAAAGCATAGAGCAGAGGTCACTATCTTTTTGTGGGGGCTACTTTATTGTTTATTTTTTTGTTATGATAAATAATTTAATTTAGACCATAACTCCCTTGACCTTAGACGTGGTATAACATACTAAAATGTTGATTGGACGGGACTACTTTTTAACATTTTATTTACTCACAAACACATAACAATAATTTTTATTACATATTAAAATTAAGAGTAATGTTAACATTTCTTCGTTTTGAATTGTCAGCTTCGGGTTCTTCATATTCGACTAATTGGCGTTTAGATATGTAGATGGCATATTCATCTGAATCACTTTACTAACTATTGCATCTTGTATCGTATCTGTTCGTTTATACTGACGAATGGCGTTACTTCTGTGACCTGTGGTTTTTGCGATCAATTGTTCACCAACACCACATCGAAATAACCGTGTTGCACATGTAGCTCGAGGAGAATGGTTGGTATAGAAACCTAAAAATAGAAAATTGAAACAATGTTATTTCTTTAATTAAGCAGTTTAAAGATTGTCCTTTTTTGTGAGGAGAAGTTCAATTAAAAGCTAATAAAATTATGTGCACTGATATTGAATCACACACCTGACACCCTAGCTTGATTAGCCCAAATATCTCCCATATCAAAGGTTATTCCTACGATAGAGCGAAATTAGTGTGCAACTTACCAGGCAAACCTGCTGCTTTACACAATCTCTTCACGGTCTTAGCCAATGTATTCTGTCCAACAGGGGCCATCGAGTACCAGGTCGATTCTGTTGGCTTTGTTAACGGTCTTAAATATACAACTGTTGCAGCATTCTCTGGTCTCAGTTGAAGATATCGTTCGTAAGTTTAACGATACATCTTGTTGGGTCTTCATGGGCATACGCAGTTACATATTTTGGCACCGCTTTAAAATCTTTAAGACCACGCTGATTATTTTTACTGATATTTTCGCTGTATTTGATATAGGATCCCTGCTCATTAACACCTACTGACCATTGGTCTAATGTCAAATCTCTGTGCTCACCACCACTTCTCAGTGCAAAGTTAAGTCTAAACAAGTACACAATTGTATCCAAAAATGTTTGTGGATTGCAATCGCCTAGAATACCACGCATCCACATACTATTTTCAACTTGAATGGAAATAATGTCTGCCTGTTTAGTAATCATGTCATTACCCTTGCTTGCACTTATCTTCATAGCATTGTCCAAGGTGCTTCTCAACTCAGCGAATATGGAATCCGATAAGAAATGCTATTCATGTGAATCTGTATGAGAAGTATAAGCTGTCTCAAAGTCTTTGGTGGGTATTCAGAGCCATCTTCTCTTCGGGCTTCAACTATGAATCGACTTAGACAATAACAGAGTTCGTCGTCATTCAGAAAATCTAATTCACGGGTCACAAAACTAAGCTGGTTATCAGTTTTGCCAGCTCGTATTTTAGATTTCGGGAAAGGGAGGGTTTGATTCTCCCAAATGTACAGGCCTAGGGTGGAGCAGACACTTTATTTAGAAATTAGGATTAAGGGTCTTGATATTGGGTTTTCTTCTGTACTTATTCTGATCTGAAATTAGAAAAAATAACTCGCCCGATGGGCGAGAAGTATAGTATCTGTTATGTACTGTTTGTTTTTAGTTTACTATGAACAATATTATCATTTAAGTTCTTATTTTTTGAATATGCAACTAGTCCTATAGGTCTTGCTGTATTCAATGTCTCAATCCAATGGGCCTCCCTATATTGACGGAATTTGGTAGTTTCATCTTCGGGCAAGTCAATTTCTATACGCTCAATTGGGATTAGGGTGAGATCGTCTATTGAATGGTAGTCGAGGTTGAAATGATTAGAAACAGGCTTGTCTTACTTTAATTTGATGTCCGACCTATGAGCATTAAAGCGAATTCGTAAATTATTCTTAGTTTCTCCTACATATTGTTTGGGGCATTTCTTGCATGAAATTAAATATATTACATTCGAATGTTCGCATGTTAGATGTTCCTGGATCGGGTACCTTTTATTCGTAGAGTTGCTTACAAAATAATGGGTTTCTGATATAAAGGGACATGTTTTGCATCTACTGGACAAACATGAAGCACTTCTTAAACCTGGAGGTACTTCGGCATAAAGTCTGTTTTTATCTGCTATCTGTGCTAAGGTGGAATTTTTTATGTTTCGTAAAAATCGTTTAGAGTACCCACGCTCTTTCAGTTTTGAGAAAACAATCGTACAGGCTTGGTTGAAATCAGAAGATCTTGTACAAATTCTATGAAATCGTAAAACTTGTGACTTAATTATACCAGAAAAGGTATGTTTTGGGTGAAAGGAGCTCTTGTGCAAGAGTTGATGAGTATCAGTTTCTTTGAAATACACTTTAATATCCAGTTTATTTGTTTCTGCTATGGAATCTCCCTTAAAGACTGTGGCATCGAGAAAGTCTATGCTTTTGTCACTCACGTTTGCCGTTAGTTTGATAGAAGGATGGTGGTTGTTGAGAATTTCAAAGAATTCCCAAAACTGTTCGATAGAATAAGTCTAAACCATAAAAATGTCATCCAAAACGCGTCCATAAAAAAGTGGGTCAAATGGACAGAGGGGCAACACCTCACGTTCCCAGTCTGCCATGAAAAGGTTTGTGTACGAAGGGGCGAATCGTGTGCCCATTGCTGTCCCTGAAGTTTGTAAATATGTTTTACCATTAAATGTGAAATCGTTTCGACTAAGACAAATCTCTAAAAGCTGTAGAATTGCATCGTCGGGTCTGTTTGGATCTGGGTTTCTATTAAAAGCTTTACGAACTGCCGTTAAACCAGTAGTGTTATCGATATTGTTATACATAGAAGAAACGTCGATAGAAATTAAAATAGCATTAGAGGGAACTCGAAGATTTTTTATTTTATTGACAAAATCGGTTGTGTCTTTAAGGTAGGCGCGATGTTGGCATGCTAGAAGTAGTAAGAAATGATCAATGTATTCTGACACTGCATATGACTCACTACCACAGTCAGATATAATCGGGCGGCCTTTAGGGATTTTATTCGAGATAAACCACTCCTTGGTTGGATTCTTATGGATTTTAGGCAAAGTGTACAAATGTCTCTCGCGACAATCAGGTTTGGCAGACAGATAGTCATATTGTTTCTGTTTGAGATAACTAGTTTTGACTAAATCGGCAAGAATATTATTAATCATGTTAGCAGTTTCTTTGAAAATTGGTTTCGGTAAAATGGCATAATGTTTAGGATTATTCAGTTGATTCTCTGCTTCTGAAACGTAATCCTCCCTATTCAGAATGACACAACATGAACCTTTGTCACTCTTTTTAATAACAATGCTATCGTCTTTCTTAAGTGAGTTTAACGCTTCACGTTCCACTCGTGTGAGATTAG